AATCTTCAACATCCAAATGAATATATTCGTGGTGTGACCTTGAGGTTCCTCTGCCGCTTGAATGAGACAGAGATCATTGAGCCACTAATCCCTTCTGTTTTGCAAAATCTGGAGCATCGTCACCCATTTATTCGGAGGAATGCTATATTAGCTGTAATGTCGATTTATAAGCTTCCACAAGGTGAGCAGCTCTTGGTCGATGCACCTGATATGATTGAGAAGGTCCTTTCAACAGAGCAGGATCCTTCTGCCAAGCGAAATGCATTTCTTATGCTATTTAGTTGTGCACAAGATCGAGCCATTAATTACCTCTTGACCCATGTTGATAGGGTTTCTGAATGGGGTGAATTGCTTCAGATGGTTGTGTTGGAGCTGATTCGTAAGGTTTGCAGAACAAACCGTGGGGAGAAAGGGAAGTATATTAAGATTATTATATCTTTACTAAATGCGCCATCAACTGCAGTTATTTATGAGTGTGCTGGCACACTTGTTTCTCTGTCATCTGCTCCCACTGCTATTAGAGCTGCTGCCAACACTTATTGTCAGCTTCTTCTTTCTCAAAGTGACAACAATGTGAAGCTTATTGTGCTAGATCGACTGAATGAGCTTAAGTCTTCTCATAGAGATATTATGGTTGACTTGATCATGGATGTGCTTAGAGCACTTTCAAGTCCAAATCTTGACATCCGGAGGAAGACACTCGATATTGTTCTTGAGTTAATAACTCCCCGAAACATCAACGAGGTTGTTCTTATGTTGAAGAAGGAAGTTGTGAAGACTCAAAGTGGAGAGCTTGAGAAGAACGGAGAATACAGACAAATGCTCATTCAAGCTATTCATTCCTGTGCAATCAAATTCCCTGAAGTTGCAAGCACGGTTGTGCATCTTCTGATGGATTTCTTGGGAGACAGTAATGTTGCTTCAGCTATTGATGTTGTTGTTTTTGTTCGAGAAATAATTGAGACTAACCCTAAACTTAGGGTATCCATTATAACAAGGCTATTGGACACATTCTATCAGATCCGAGCTGCACGGGTTTGCTCCTGTGCCCTTTGGATCATTGGAGAGTATTGCCTATCTCTGTCTGAAGTTGAGAGTGGCATAGCAACCATCAAGCAGTGCCTTGGAGAGCTACCTTTCTACTCTGTTTCTGAGGAAGGGGAAGTTACTGATGCTTCAAAGAAAACTCCACAAGCGAATTCAATCACTGTCTCCTCCAGGAGACCAGCTATTCTTGCTGATGGTACTTACGCAACCCAGAGTGCTGCCTCTGAAACTGCTTTCTCCCCTTCTACCATTGTTCAGGGATCATTGGCTTCTGGGAATCTCAGATCTCTTCTCCTCACTGGTGATTTTTTCCTCGGGGCAGTTGTTGCTTGCACACTCACTAAACTTGTTCTGAGATTGGAAGAGGTACAGCCATCAAAAGTTGAAGTTAACAAAGCAACCACACAGGCATTGCTGATCATTGTCTCTATGTTGCAATTAGGACAATCACCTGTCCTTCCACACCCAATTGATAATGATTCTAATGATAGAATTATTCTGTGCATAAGATTATTGTGCAACACTGGTGATGACATAAGGAAAACATGGTTGCAGTCTTGCCGCCAAAGTTTTGTTAAAATGCTTTCAGAGAAACAGTTGCAAGAAACTGAGGAATTAAAGGCAAAGGCTCAGGTTTCTCATGCACAACCAGATGATCTTATTGATTTCTACCATTTGAAGAGTAGGAAGGTGAGAGCCTATTTATGGTCTTTATCTTATGTGCATAATTTAACATCGTTGGTTTATGCCAAGTTGATCATGCCCATATCTGGTCTACATTTTCTGTGTTCTATCTAAGCATGTTTTTCATTTGTTTTGATAGAATTTTCTTCTTTATCTCCTTGGCTTTGCAGATCTTTTGGTTATTGACTCTTAATTTTGATTCTTTCTTGGATTTTTGACATGTATATATGTACTTGTATCTGAAAATTTCTGTTGCTAACTTCCAGGGTATGAGTCAGCTGGAATTGGAGGACGAGGTTCAAGATGATTTAAAACGTGCAACTGGAGAGTTTGTCAAGGATGCTGATGATGCAAATAAGCTCAACCGTATTCTTCAACTGACTGGATTTAGTGATCCAGTATATGCTGAAGCATATGTCACTGTCCATCACTATGATATTGTTCTTGATGTCACAGTTATCAATCGAACCAAGGAAACCCTTCAGAATTTGTGCTTGGAGTTGGCAACTATGGGTGATCTGAAACTGGTGGAACGTCCACAAAACTATACCCTAGCTCCTGAATCTAGCAAGCAAATAAAGGCCAACATCAAGGTGTCCTCAACTGAGACTGGAGTCATATTTGGCAACATTGTTTATGAGACTTCAAATGTGCTTGAAAGAACTGTTGTTGTTCTTAATGATATTCATATTGATATCATGGACTATATTTCTCCTGCTGTTTGTACTGATGCTGCATTCAGAACTATGTGGGCAGAATTTGAGTGGGAAAACAAGGTATCTCTCAAAGTATTTCCTTTTTTATTACCAACTTGCAATCTCAGCCTCCCTGTTTCCTTTAGTTAGTTGGCCCAACATTGATACCTTACTATGCTTCAAATATAATGTGTTCAGTATGTAATTGGAATTTAATTTTATATTAGCTCAATTTTAGAAGTTGATCACGTCCATTTGCATAGTGTTTGATTACCCGTTGATGTTATTCCCCTCTTACTGCTAATTGAGTTCACTTCCTATATCTGTAAGCTTCTCCTGCAACTGAGCTAACTGTTCTTATTCCCATTGTTGTATCAAACTTAATTTTCATTATTGTTTTATGTGATTCAGGTTGCTGTTAACACTGTAATCCAAGATGAGAAGGAATTCCTTGACCATATTATCAAGTCAACCAATATGAAGTGTCTCACTCCACTGTGAGTTTACTTTATTTAGACATATACATAGATTTATATAATAAACTGATCAGTTTTTGGTTTCTGGCTTTCTGCATATCATGTTGTAGGTTGCACATTTTTAATACTACTGCATCGTATATAATTCACATGGCACTTATGAAACAACTTAATGAATCTATTATGCTCACTTTGTAGAATAACAAATTTACATTATGTTGGTTTTCAGGATGTATCTTTTTATGTTTTTGTGACCCAAAATAACGTTTTCTTAGAAGTTGCTGCTGAACACAGTTGTAAATCACTTATGTGAGCTCCTTATAGATCATCATCTGCATTCTTATTAATCCATTCTTTCTTGTCTTTCCTTTTCGCTGGCTGGTTTTGTGTTTCAGATCTGCCCTAGATGGTGAGTGTGGATTCCTGGCAGCTAACCTGTATGCAAAAAGCGTGTTTGGGGAGGATGCCTTGGTGAATGTGAGTGTTGAGAAACAATCAGATGGGAAGCTTAGTGGGTACATCAGGATAAGGAGCAAGACCCAGGGGATTGCTCTTAGCCTTGGGGATAAGATCACCCTAAAACAAAAGGGAGGCAGTTGATGTTGCAGTATTTCAACGTCATTTGTTTCGCTAATACTGGTAGTCATTCTTGTTTTGGCTTGTAAGTTGCTGCCTCAATCTCCTTTAAAATGCAAAATTAAGTAATTTCATTTTTGTGTTCTCTGTATCTAGGGGTAGTAGCGGTATCCAGAGTTGACATTGTTGTATTTGGAGTTACATATTTCATCAGTAAAAGGGTCATTGAACATTGGTTAAAATACTGCATTTTGGCGATGTTAAAACAGGACTTTTACGCTGATTCTTTAAAATAGTATTGAATTCTGAGCTTACTTTCAGTACGTTGCTCCATAATAAATCATCCTAATTTTTTGTGCATATCCCTATTCTGTGGTTCTGCTGGGCACGCTATTTTGGTTCTTTTCTAGCTTGCTGCTTTTGCTTGTTTATCTCTTTTCTTACTCCTGACATAAATGAGGTCTGACATAAATGAGGTATAATCGATCGAATTTAAATTAATACATTAATAAGTTTGAATTTGAATTTGATTTTAAATTTGAGATTACAAATTCAGTTTAAGTTTGATCGAGTTTTATTATTTTAATTCAAAATAAAAATTGAATTACTCAAATTTATTCCATTAAGTTCAATAAATATATAAAAATAAATTTTTGAGTCATATTTTTTTGAAATTTTAATTATTTATATTTGAGTTCAAATTCGAATTTAAAATATTTTATTAATTAAAATATATTAAAATATAAATTTTTGATTAAATTCATGAATTATTTTATTTAAATAAAAAATATTTAAATTTGATAAATTAAATTATTTAAATTCAAGTTTAATGTTATAATAATTGAGTTACATTCTAATTTTATTTGAATCATTTAAATAATTTATAAATCTTAATATATCATTTACACTTTTAGCTGACATGCATCGGAGAGGTAGTTAAATTTCTTTTCTATTCTAACTTGGAACCATAAAATGAGAGCATCAAAAAGTAGCCTAAAAGCATACTCGTAGCTAGTTGTTTCCGACTTGAAAAACCTTGCTGCTTCTGCAAGATGAATTTGTAAGTACGCACGTATTTCTGTATTCTGCAACCATTCTTGAATTTCAGTCTTCCAAAAATGGTTCTCTGTCAATGCCGCGTCCTCAATTTAGCGTTCCCACAGTTTAGGTTTTCTAAATGTAGGAGTTACTGTGTAGGAGTTTGGAATTTAATCGTATTACTCTGACATGCTCGGTAAACATGCACCTATCCGGCCATCCCCTTTCCAACTTCTTTCCTTTCGCTTTGATTTTATCCTTTCCTTTTTTGTTCGTTTTAATGCCATGCCGAAAAGATGAGTAAAAAATTAAAAAAAAAGAAAAAGAAAAAAAAACTACGGATGAAATTGCTTCCCGTACTGATTTTCATCGCAGTCCACGTTCGTGGCAAAAGCTACGTCTTGGGCTTTCTGCTATATGTGGAAACAAGGATCTCTTGTTTTATGAGAAAATCTTTAACTTTTGAGACTTTGACCTCTGCAAGCAGAGTGAGTGTCAGTATGGGGCCCTTTGGGTCTTGTATCCTAAATGGAGCGGAAAACCAGAAATCTAACTCATTCTTCTCGCAAAAAGGATGTAATTTAATTGCACTGTTGTGTTTGTCCATTAATACAGGAACGCCATTTCATTGTCATTACTTCATAATCAGTAACGAGATGCATAGAGTATATTTGTCCTGTTGAATAAAATATCTGTCGACTTCTTTGTACTATAAAATTGGAAAAGTTAATGCCTTTCTAGTTACAGTCGAGTTTCTTATTTCATAAAAAAAGAAATTTGAGAAAGCTCCAAACAACCATATTCAGTTTAGAGATACTGGCAAGTAGCTCTAGTGCCAGCTTACGCAAGAGAACAGCATGTTCAGTTTAGAGACAGTGGCAAGTAGCTCTAGTGCCAGATTACGCATGAGAACAGCAAAGCCTAGCTTCAATGCCGAATATTAAAAAAAAAAATCAACTCATACGGGAGTAGATGTCCAAAGAATCATAGTACACAGAAGGGGTTTCAACTTTCAACAGAATCAAGACACCCAAATTGATGAAATTATAAAGGATTAGAACAATAAAATAATCACTTACAAAGTTTAAACTTTTTAAAAAACAACGATACCATGGACTTGGGGTAGGGTTTCGTAGCCAGGCAAGTTGGAATGTTTTCAGGCTGTTCAATCCACAGTTTGTGAGCAATACCACCATCTGTCAATTTTTCCGACAAGTTCAATATCTGGGCTTCTCCCATCACCTCAAGGGTAACCTACATGTTCCGGAAATAAAACTGTGGTCAGATCATTCAGCCCATGGTATTATTTCAGCTAGACAGAGTACTTGCAAAGTGGCAAGCACTAACCAAAAGACTCGATTATAAGACCACTTGCAAAGTGGCAAGCACTGACCAAAAGATCAAATCAAGTAACAATTATAGGACCACTACACAACTCCAGACAAAGGTGTAAAAGATTAACACCTCGTGACATTGGTTATAATGAGATATTGTAAAATATTTTATTATGAAACCCTTTTATCAAATTAATTACATTAAAAACATAACACTAGTGCTTAGTGGATACAAGGGGCAAAGTTGAAGAGAAGGCATAAACATTGACTATTAAGTGGATTATTTGACAATAGAAATGTCAATGTCTACTCTCCTTCCTTCTTATAATCACAAACCTGTGTGCAGGCTCATAGGTAATGGTAATCAACTAACTAAAAAATAATTTTTTTTCCTAGTAGAAAAGGGTGTCACCTTTGTTTTAACCCAAACCTAGTAAGCTCTTTTACTGACTACAGCTTGCAAGCAAGTGTGTGAGAATAAGATGGGTTATCCATCCTCCACTTTGTTTTGCATCAAACATCCCTTGTTGCATAGCATTATGGGACCAATGGATCAGGCCCTTTCATTCATTTCTCTCTTCTGCTATGAGATTATGATAACTTAAAAGGACTGACTAATTCATTAATTTTTGGGTGGCAAAACCTCCCCAGCAAAGAAAGATCTATAACAACCTCGTAGGAGAAAAAAATGTGTCACAATGAGATTGGTTCCAGTTGCCATAATTGTACAAGAGCATAGAATGAGGAAGAAACCACCTATTTGACCAAAATGTTGAAGCTTCATTCTCATCTTTTTACTTGATTTTCACTTATTTCTAGTCTTATATACATGAATTTATTAGGAAAAGTCAACGACTTTAAGAAAAAAACTCAATCTGTAATAAATCATATTCGTTCAGGTGGAAAAGAAGGACAAAATTTTGCTTACCTTGTGCATAGAGTCTATATTTTCAGGACGGCAATACTGGAGGGTGTGAGGGTCGTCCTTGTGAGACCAAATGGCACTGACGGATGCATGGCATCCCTGTGTTACCACGCTCCCCAATGACCACGTGTCTATTAGGTCTCTCCGAAGCACCACGTACTGCACAAGCACGTCGTCGTTGTTCCCTGCCGTTGGGGTGGCAGTTTTGGTGGCGGCGGGCTCTGAATTTGGTTGACTCATTGAGCTCGAAAGCTTCCGAGTGGTGAGGCGAATTGGAGAAGAGGGATGAACCCTAATGTTAAAGCTTCTACGGGAGGGGCGGTAGCTGCCAAGGATTGTGGTGAAACAACGACACAATGAGGGAAGTGCGGCCATTGACGCCTAAACGCTGCGTTGCTCCGGTGCGGATTTCCTTTCAAATTCTTTACTGGGCTTGGGCCGCATCTGGGATAGGAGTTTTAACCTCTCTTTTTTTTTAGGTTGGACCGCCACTCAGAACAAAAATTGTAGTCCAGTTCTTTATTTTTTTAGAGTTAAAACAAACATAATAACTGTGACAAAAAGAAATTTTCACCGCGTTAACAATTGTGATGTTCCATGTAATATTGAATTTTTAATTTTATTTGTAATAAGTTAATAGTGAAAACTTCAATTAAAAATATAAATTAAAAGAATAAAATTATCCTAATATACCTGCCTGCCTTTTTCTATTTTGTTCTTGAAAAGTTAAAATATAAACAATTAAGATTTTATCATTATTAATTGGAAGGAGAAGATTTTGATGAAGTTTATTAAATGAAATTGATAAATTTTTTATTAAAAATGATTAAATAAAAATTAAAATCAATTCTTACTATATGAATTAAATGTATAAATTTTGAAAAATAAAATAAATTTTAATATGTTTTTTAAATATAAAATTTTAATAAAAATTTTAACGTTAAATAAATACTTATTAAATTTGAATCATAAATGATATCTTTAATAATTTTTTAAATATGATTAATTTTAATATTAAAATTTATTAATTTATTGAATTATATTTTTTTATTAAATTATTTTATTAAGAAAATTCACCTAAAAATTTTAATCTAAATTTTGTCATATTTAAAAACAGTTGCAATCTGAGGATGGGTGTGAAAAGTGAACGAGGTAGTAGTACGTACAAGCTTTTAGAAATACAGCAAGATCTTAGCTGCCCATCAAATATTTACGATGAATTGCCTGCACGTAACTTTATTTCATTGGTTATTCATGGGATTTTGGAATATTCTTCTGAGTTCTTCTGAATGCCAAGATGAGCAATGTCACTTGACCCCATCGCTTTACAACCCATGAAAGTGCACCTTTAGCTTCAAAATGCAAAATGCCAAACCACCCCCACCGCCTCCCAATTCCTCCTTTTTTATCTCTTTGGATTCTCCTGTTTACCCCATCACATAAACCCCTTTATGTAGGCTTGCAAATATCGCAATGACAACTGGCGCTCCCTATCTCGTACTGACCTAACCTAAACGTCTAATTGAATGGAATAGATGTTCCCTGGGTATCAACCCTCTTACTCTCTTATTTATTCATTTAATTGTTCAGATTAAAGATAAAGAGATAAGATTTCCCAACATCTATCATTTAATAAGTCATCCTTGGTTGTTGGCAGTATGCATTTTTCAACACATTATTATTCATCACTAAAAATATATTTTCTTATTTAAAAAAAGAAAAAGAAAAAAGCCAAACCAACAGATCTACTATTGACTCCTATATCTTCGAAGAGTCTTCCGAAATTAGGATGCCAACCATACTCCCTTACTTTTTCTGATATAAATGGATCATTAAAAAATGTCCGATTCAAGTCTCCTGTCTGTCATCCGACAACTCAAATGTCCATACAAGGACCCAATAGTTGTAATAAACGAAAATCTAGCAAGACATATCATGCATACATACGTGTATACGTGTATCAAAACGACATATCCATATATCTAAAAACTACAAGCTACCTCTATCCCATGTGTTCTAATAAAAATTGAATTAAATAAATCAAATCAATTGGAAGATATTATTTGTAAAAACTTTTATTTATATATATGAACTTGCCAAAAATTCTGTTTTTTCTTCTAAGAAAATAGAGAAGAAAAGGGCAGCAACGGAAAAGAAAAAAACAGGTACTAATCTAAATCCTAAAGCATTTTCAGGCTAAAAGCAAAGAGTGTTATTGATGTTCTACTTGCAGATCTGCTAGAGAAAAACAACTCTGCGACTTGAAAGTGGCCTTAAGTTTGCTTTGCTGCAATTTTGGTTTTGTTGCTGCTACTGATAAAAGTTTATCATTTAGTGATGATGATGACGATGGTGATGGTGATGATGATGATGAAGATGATGGAGTTTCTTTGTCCTCTCCATCTTCATTGTCTTCATTCAAAGCAAGAAGGGGCATGGAGTTGGGGTTTCGCCAAGAGTAGAAAGATGACTTCATGTGCAATTTGTTTGCAAGCAGCACCCTCCTCCTTTTGTTGAATGGGCTCTCTGCCTTCTGCAGATCTTTCACTGTGCTTATATCTGAAAGATTTGCAAATGACTTTGATTTCCCTGCATAATGATTCGACAATCCCCTCCTAAAAAAAAAAAAAAAAACAAATTTAGACCCAATAATTCAAGAAGCCCTTCAAGTCTGATAATTGATTCCTAGTAATTAAGAACAACATATCACCGACTAGAAATGTTCCCCCACTAGAATTTCGAATTTAAGGATATTCCCTTTAGAGTGCTATGCTAAGTTTTATGATAAAAACGATCAAGATTCATGCCTATCCTTTCTTTTTCTACCCCCAACAACACGAGAATCAAACAACAGCAAAATACGCACGTATAATTCAACACCATAATACCAGAAAAACAAGCCAAACACAAAACATCCGTAAAGATAGATATTTCAAATGAAAAAATTAACACAAACTAGAGATAAGACTCGGAAAAAAAAAAGGGGAAAAAATCGGAGAAAGATACTAACTTGATGGGAAGAGAGTCCTCTAGAGAACCCAAAGAAGCCAACTCTACACCTGTTCCAGATGAAACGACGCCCCCTTCCTCTTCATCATCGCTCTCTCCCGGAGATCCGATCGAGGACGAAGTCTCCGAGGACACATCAGGAGACCCGCGATCCGACCCGTGGGTGGGATCGTCGCCACCAACATCCTCCTCCTTGAGAAACAAGCAAGAGGGGGAAATCTTCTCCCGAGGCCGGTCTCTAACAGACGTTGAAGCAGCAACCTCGATGCCAAACGTGGGACCCACAAAAACCTCCATTTTTTTTTCCAGTTACCACTACGAAACCGGAGTCAACAGATTCACAATTCACAACTTCAACCTTCTCCTCTTGGTCTTCGTCTTCGCTTTCTCCTCGTGTTACAGAGAGTTCTTACTATCATCAATCGGAAGTTAAAGGCTAATAAAGAAGTATGCTAAAAAGTGCTTGGAAGCCGAGAGAAAAGCTGCGAAGGTTAAGAGGGATAAAGGGTGCGTAGGTTTAGGATTTCTATTTAGACAGGAACAAAAGACAGATATCAAAGGGGACCAACAAGAACAAGGTTATCCATGTCTCCTCCATTATTTCACCACTTCCTAAAAGATAGAGAGAACGAAATGAGCCAAAGCTTTTAGTTGTAGAGAGAGAATGTTAGAATAAAAAAGGAAAAGAACAGAAGACGATAAGAGATGGATTAGATTGGATTAGATTAGATAAAATATGCTCCTATTAAAAATGGTTTTTTTTTTTTATTTCTACGTGTATAATAGTATGGCATGCGTATTCGTATTTTGAATCCGTATGTTTATAGAAAAAGGGTGGGGAAAGGAAAGATTTAACGTTAATATCCGCCGGCGGCGAAATAGGGGCAGATAGAACTTAGAACGCGGTTTGACACGTTCATAATGACGTGGCACAGACGAAGACCAGAAAAAAATGAAAAATCCCGAAAAACTGTTTTAATTCATACGGTCCTAATTTCGCTCACTGTACCTTTCGTATCTCAACAATACCCTCTTTGTCTTAATTTTTTTGTTTTTTCAAGATATCTTAAAACTATATTTTTATTTTTTATATTTTAAAATTATTAAAAATGATAAATTTTAATTTTTATAAAAATTTATTTTTAATATTAAATATATTTAAAACAATTTTTTAAAATTTTCATAAAAATTAATACTATCCAAACAATTTAAAACAAATAATAATAATAATAAAATAAACTTATTTTATTCCTATTTCATTTATTGAAGCTTTCTTTTCTCTCACTCTAAAAATATAGGATAAGAGTGGGTCAAGAGATAATAGACTATTTACTTCCTTTTCATTCATCTACAGTTGTAAATGTGAATGACCATAAGCTGTTAAAGATAAATTCAATGAGCATTCAGTTCAAATCATGCTTGTCATTCTAGGGAATATTTAAAAACTTTTTAATCTATATTCTTTAGAAGCATTTATTTATATATATATATAAATTAAAAAAAAAAAAGCTGGTGATCTAGCTGTACGGTGTATAATATTGTATATGCCAACTTTGATTTAAAAAATTTAGAAATATAATATTATTGTTGTTGTTGTTGGAAGTACATACAGTTTAAACTCAACTAACATGTCTCTGTTTTTTTTTTTTTTTTTAATCATATACCCGTATATAAAACACAAGCGTTTTCATTGCATAGATAGACAGAGCATGGATAAATGATGGGGTTGACTTAAAATTTTTACTGTTTAGAAACTTAAAAAGAATGGTGCAGAATAAGTGGCTTAAAACTGATTCATTGACATTCATTGTAGATGAGTTCAATAGATTAGGTAGATTAGGCAACTAATCAAATTAAACTGAATTATTATTGATGATAGTCAGATAATTAATTTAATGGATAATTAAGATTAACTTTGTATGGATCAGCCTACTCATCCAATCCAAGAATTTGACTGCTGGCCCTTCATTATATAACAACTGCCCAATGGAGCATCAACGATAATATTAGTATTAATTATATTAAATTAAATTAGGTGGTAGTGGAAAGAGTTTTTAGGTGGGATTGTAGAAATATGATTATTATTATTAGTATTTCAATTGAGTTATTTAGTTTTTTGTGATGATGATAGATTTGATAATTTAAAATATGATACGATGATATGATATAAAAATAATGTAAATAAAATGATCTAAAATTTTAATAAAATTAAAAATATATTTTATATATTTATGTAGATGTAAATTGTGATAAATAATTTTTATATAAAATATAATATTTTATATAATACAATAACATAAATTATTAAATTTAAATAACGATACATGATAATGGTTTTAAATTTGAATGTCAACTAATTGCAATTTTAATTAGATTTTTTTTAAAGAGATGATGACTGATAGGGGAGTGGATTTGTTTGTTTTAAGCATTCTACTTTTATTTTGTTTTTTCAAGGGTCCAGAGATGACCGTGAACATCATTTTGGCAAAGAAATGCCAATGAGAGTTGTAATTTATGCGTGGTGGACTTTTCCTTATTGGCAGACAGATATTCTAAAACCTATGTTTGATAAATTAATTAAATTAAAGTATATAATTTTTTTTTAAGCATTAAATGAATGGTAATTGGAGGATATGAGGTCAAATTGAGAAGTGACCAATGGCTATCATCTTGCCCTAGCCTTAGCCATCACCAAACCTATCTTATCTCTTTAGATAAGACTATACTAAGATATAATACTATATATAATAATCTAGTTAATTACCAGGCCTAGGTTTTGGTGGTTGGAAACCCATTATTCAGTGTGGATAAGCATAGATTGATTGGTTTCAGATATGTAATTTAAACTTAATTAAACACAATTAGCCATCACCAAATTGGTAAGACGGTATTTATTATTTATAGGAAATACGTACTTCCATGGTTTAAAGAAATCCACAACTTTAAAAGTTGATCTTATTACATTTGTAGGCCACGTGTGTCTCTTTTAGTTTTGATATATGTAGTGAATCAAGCTTGTGGTCAATGGAGAGTTGTAACAATAACAGCAGTAAAGCAAACATTTTAACCTTGAATTTGAATACTAGAGAACTCTTATTACCTTTTTAAAAGGAAAACTGATAGTAGTATTATCTTTTCCATCGTAGTATGAGTATGTGTATGCTTCCTATATATTTCACTACGTTCAGTTGCAAAATCAAAACCCCAGCACTCACCAGCCCAAATTAATTGGTTTTGTTCTATAGAAAGTATGAAAATTATGAAAGTGTTTGATCTAGTAGGCTAGTAGCTATGTTTCAGAATGAGAAGATGGTTATAAAGCTCTTACCAAATATAATTTTCGGTTCTAAAAGAAGCAAATGCCTCCAAACAGATCCAGAGACAACATAACAGATTATCAGATGGGCCGAAAAATTTGACTCTAAGTATCCAGCAGAGCTTGGAGCATTATCATCGAATAGATGAATTGGATTTGTGGTGGGTTTGGCAGAAGTGTTGATAATGAGTTGTTACATAAATAATTGAACCCATAAAGAAAATATTGCATATCAACATTAGTATTATAAGTTTTCACCCTGCCTACCAAACATCTTATTAGAGGGTTTTCATGGAAAAAAAAAGCAGATAATAGAACGGACAATTGAACAGAAAATGAAAGAGAAATGCAATTTGGACATAGATCCATATTCAGCCACAGATCTGTGCCCTTCAAACTGGGTTTGATCAAGTCAAAAATTTTGGGCTACTGTTGTAGTTAATGGTAAGATGTCAGAAGGCACGTGGCTGACGATGTTAGAAAGAGGTAACCTTCAAGGCTTAAAGTTGATTAGTCTAATTCGTACAAGTTCAAAGCATTTTATCTCATCTTCGGTGAGAGATTTGACTTGTTTTGAACCCGACGTGCACGGATTGATGATGAGAATTTGCTTCCCCCGTAAAACAACCTTGTTGTTTGCAATGACGAGAGCGTTTGTGTCATACTTTCCCGCAGCAGAAAAAAGAGCAGCACGCACTGAGAAGGTTCTTGTTGCTCTAACGAAATTTCCAAACACCAAAGTGTCAACGGTAACCTTTTCAAACATGCAATGTGTCGTTAGGCAGAAGAACAAGAGTGAATGGTTGCATCTGGCAGTAGAAGTTGAAAACTAAACAAGATCATTGACAACAGATTGTGGGTTGAAATATGAACAACAATCCAAATTAATTTCTTAAACGTTGAATATTAGATGATATTTTCAAATGGATTAATCAAAGCCGTCCTCCGTTCTCTCTCGTTCCAACATTCACATAGATAAAAGATCTAAAAGCATACACAGAATATCGGGTTTCTTTTCAAATTTCTTTTCATAAAAGTAATTTCAGTGGCCCTTTCCTTTTTCAAGTTCCAATCCGGCCCACTTTGAATACATGGATTGATTTTCTTCCGCCGCGTTAGCAGCGTGGCTATGATAGGAGTGGCCTAGGAAGTTTGGACTAATTTCATGTTGCAATGCAAGAGGACAGGGGGAAGGGAAGGGTAGGGAAGGGAAGCATACCCTCTGCGAAAATAATTATTATCCTAAAGAATTGATTAAGGATAAGAATTCTCGATCGTTTGTACCAAGACAAGTCACATCACAATCACAGCCACCCAACATGATAAAAAATATCTCAATTTCATTTGTCAACCTCGCATCTTTTCAAAATTCAAACCAATATTTGATTTATTATAATCACGTCAGGTTACCACGTAATTTAACGAGCTCCTCAAGAAATAAACAGTTTGCTCTCACTATACTAAGCTACGTTGAATTCGGTGCGAGCGCCTAACCAGATGTTGACAACGCAATACTGCAAACGTGTTACCGTTTCCATATTCCCCTCTGATGCTTCAATACCTACTGGCGCTTCCAGAAGACCACCATGGGACAAGCAACACCTAAAGTCAAAACTACGTACATGGCTAGAAAATTAGTTGCTTTTTGTTTTCTTTATTACACCGCTATATGATTCTACATTGTAATTACTTTCATCCCAAGCTTTAGAAAATAATTAAAATACTATAATTATCTGTTCATGCATCCGTACGCATGTCACGATTACTGGTTGAGGAGATGGTAACAAGGATGCCGTCCAAGATTGAGCTAGATAATTCAAACAGGAGCCGATAACAATTCCACAAACGTCAAACAATGGATTCCGTTGGGGAACAATTTTCATATATAGTACTTTGATTATAGAAGAAAGGCTTAAGGTTTGACATGCGGTGTTGTTTATGGTGACATTTAGAGATAGTGGTTTGCCATGTGGTCATTTTCGTGGGAGAAGAAAATTGAGTTGGTTTTCATTCCATGAGTTTGAACTTTTTAATTTGGCATCAGATTATGGAAAAAAATTAAAATTTTGAATTTATAAAATTGTTATTAATACGAGCAGTTTAATTTGGATCTTTGTTACGGGGCGAACTTAAAATGTAGCAATTATTAAGTACTATAACCCAAACTTTTGAGTGTTGATGTGATGTCATGTGTTTCTTTTACCAGATGTGACAATTCGATTGGTACATGTGGATATATTGGTTTTTTATTCTTTGATTAATGTAGTGGAGTTTTGTTTTATTTGGAATTGTTAATAATTGTTGTAGATATCGTTAAATCAGATTGAATTTAATTTAATTTTTATGTATATTATGTAATATTATAAAAATTATAAAAATTTCAATTTTAATCTTAATTTGAATCGAATTTTTAGTTAATCCAAATTAAATTTTATTGATTTCATTTAATTTAATTTATAGATTTTATTTTTATTTTAATATATTTAAATAAAATTTGATATAAAATTATTTTTTTATTTTATAAAAATTTAAAATATATATAAAACCTAAAATATATATAATTTAATTTAATTTAATTTTTCACTTTTTGATTCAAAATTTAATCCGAATCTAATATATATATATTTAATATCTAAATTTAATTTGAATCAAATAAAATAAAAAAAAATTGATTGAAACCAAATCAATCACTATAGTTTTAAATTTATTTTCAATCGATTTTCAATCTTTTTTTTATTTTTTTCTCACCCCTAGTTGCTTGGTGTTGGACCACAAACAGAGTGGCAACTGTCGAGTAGGGTCATAATTTCGGATCCAAAGAACAATATGGGTTGTTTCTCGTAAAGTCGCTGAGTTTAGATTGAGTTTAGAGCCATTTGAACAAAATGTGCCGTCCTACAAATTAAACTAGACATGTATAGAAAGATTCTAAATTATTCAGTGGAAGATTAATTTTAGAATACCAATTGTTGATACTCCATTTTGTTCATTATTTAGGTCATGCAAAACATTTTTATTTTACCAAATGTTCTGTCCCACAAATTAAATTGGACAAGCCAAGTTACAGAAAGTTATATAGCAAGGATAAGAATAGAACACCAAATCACAACTCCTAGAAGCTCCAGTATGCTGAGGGGGGGAAAAAGGGGGAAAAGGAGGTCATCAAAGGATTAAGGAGATGCTGAAAAAATTTCAAGCATGAACAACTATATTTAAACTTGAAGAAATAAGAATTACAGAATCAGCCAACACTTTATTCCCAATAGTGTTTTGGCAGATTCTTGGCTATAATGCACAGGTAAGTTCACAATAACAGGTACAGCCATCCAATAACACAAATAAATAAGCATCTCATCCAACTGTATTCTTTTGGGAAAATTGATGACTAAATAATTTAACCACAGCTAGACATCTAGTTTCAATTTATGTAGAAAATTTGTACATGAAATCTAGCAAATTATATGCTTTAATGCCAACTAGCTTGTAACTGAATCAATGAGTGAATATTAAAGTAAAAGGAAAAGCTATACCTGAAAATATTATTATCTGCCAACCCAACACACTCCATTTCTATGGCCGGGACCCTCCATTTGCTTTGCATTTGACAGAACAAAACTGTTTCTCATCAAACTCTGGCAACTCCTAAAATTTGATCCTTGAGTAACGAAATGACAATGTCTAGAGGAACCGCTGTCCAAGGGCAAAGGATGAAATATGAAATATGATAAGGAATAGTTCCACACCCCTGAGAACACCAATATGTACAAGATAAAGGATTAGCACTCTAAAACATGAGGAACCTCCAAGGTTAACCACTAAATGATTGGACAATCACACAACTGCAGATGCAGTACGTCGAAGATCTACCCCATTATCAAATTTGCCGCTGGTTGGCCTGTCTTTAAAACTGCCATACCTTTCCCGCCTTGGCAGAAAAAGAGAAAGGAGAATTTGCTCCAACCTCTGCACTGTGTACTTCGCATACTTACTGGAACTTGCATCTTGCTCTACCAATGGCCCATAATTTTGCATAAAACTTCGATACACAGGCAGCACTGTCTGCACTATTAGTTGGCAAGTCTTCTCCCTCAAATCTCTTTCTGAGATAACCCAACCAGACTGCTTCTTATACATCTCATCGAAAGCTTCATTAAAAGTCTTCAGCCTTTTCTTTACAAGATCACGAGCAGTGGCACGGCTACCCGAGAACAGAATTAAACCTTCCCGGCTTAAGTGACCAGGGAGTTTCCCCCAGCTCTCTCTTAAGAAGCGGGTGGAATAATACTCCTTGTACTGCTCATGTTCCCTCAACCAAGAATCTCCCATGAGCTCTCCAAGTTTTGTCCCCTTTAAGTGTTTGTACAGATGCCAGTGGTTGTTCATGGCAAAAAGATAGGACAGGGTAGCATCATCATATGCCTTCACCCATGTTTCCAAATTCAAATCAACGGCCTTAATTATTTTCAAAACCTCATTAACAAGAATCCTCTCTTGGAATTTTTCATGCTTCCAACTTCGGTGAATGACCAGAACTTGGGTCAGGATTGGCTTATAATTATCACCAAGAAGTTTATTGCAGTAATCAGTTATAAAACTCACCAATCTTGGAACGCTGCCATCCTGAGGAGGAGGACTCTGCTTCTGTAATTCCACCTGAACAAAGAGTTCCCAGAAAATTTCAGCTGCACCATCAATCACACTCCTGATGAGATCTCTTGTAAGGTTTTGGATCTCAATACATGCTGCTCCCCCAAAGAGCCGGTTGAAATCCAATCTCAATTTGTTCAGAGATGTAAATATATCCAACAACTTCAGAAGCTTAATAGGATCTTTCTTACTTTCTGTAACAGTCTTCCCGAACTGAAGAAATGCAAGAATACCAGCTTGTGCAGCTATTTTCGCAAAGCATCCCATCCAAACATCTAGACCAATCCTCTCAAAAACATCATTACAAAGTTTGAACTCTGCCTCAAACAAGTGCTTGACTGCAAACTCCAAATGTTTTCCCCACTGTCCTATATACCCCTCTATGCTCTGCACATCATTAAATTCTGAGACTGAGATCTCAAGATAATCCAAATCAAGTGCCTGCAAACTAGCTCTGACATTTAAACTACGAACTTCAACATAGATCGTAATGCACTTCTCAAGTCTATTATTAGCAATCAACCTACCAAGAATTGCTTGCAATTTCTGAATAACAGTCACAGGTAAAGGGGATGGTGCAATGCATGCTTGTTCGCCTAGTGATGGAGATGACATTGGAAGTGGCACACTATGTTCCATCAACAGTCGTCTAAACTCATTTTCCAATTTATCTAACGCAGCATCTAAAAGCCCACCATCAAGATGTATTTTTTCCCCATCATTTTGCAACTCCCTTGGACCCTTGAGCAACTTCTTCAGCTTTGACAGGAAGAGTCCATCAGCTACTCTGTTATCCTCCAAATACTCAATTATATCTTCCAACCATTGAATTGCCAACCCGCAATTATCACCCAGAAACCATAATGCCTCTTCAAGACGTTTCAACACCGATAAATACCCAGGAAGATCATTCCTGGGATCTGATAGTAGGGACTTTTCCAGTCCATGAACAGCATCAAAAACCTTAAGCACTGCTGCAGCAGGGCCGACAGCTCGGTTAATGTGGCCCCCAACAGCGGCAAGAGCATCCTTGTCGGCACGAATTGGGCGGACAGCAGCTTCTAAGGAAGGCAATCTTTGGTTGATCTCCTCTAATCTTGGTCCAGCCTTTTCAAGAGCCAGTCCTAGGGTTTTCGATTTCTCTAAGCTAAGCTTTAGTGACTTTTTTGCAGCTATCAAATTATCAACGCAATTATTGTTCTTGCAATCATGACCAATTGCAGAAGGGTCCATCTTAATCCCCAAAGAAAAACCCTAATCAAAACCCAAACCCGTAAAATCCAAGCTTTGAACTACAAATATGAGTGAACAGAGACTACAAATTTTAAAGATCTACAAGCAGGACCAAAAAGGGTTTGTCCTAGTCTACCTTTTATGAGTGATCTGCTCAATTTCCCTCGTATTCATCGACGAAATAATTGAAATGAAATTAACCTGGACGCATGTAACAACAATCCCTCGTTTTTTTTTTTCCTTTATTCTTCACCAAACTCTCACCAAATTAAACCAAAAAATATACGGAATCCACAACTAACCAGATCGTCTTCAGACACAAGCGAGATAAAAAATAAAAAGAAACTCACTCAGAGATGAAGAAGAATAACAGTAGGTTGAGAGAGGTGAGCTATAGCGGCGAGTTGAGCCGAGCTGGAAGTAGAGAGTAGAGGGGAATCTGAATCGGTGAGTTTTGGATTCAAAGAAAGAGAGAGAAACGAATATAAATCTAAAAAAACGTAAACAGCGAAAGAGAGAGAAAGGAACACTTTACAACTCTTTCGGCATTGTTGCACTACGCGTCCTGCCAAGGTGCTTGACAGCAAGGCTTCTGCCCCTTTCTCTCCCTAGGAGTATAAATTACGCTCCTTATACTAGTATTTTTACATTATTTTTTATTAACTTTTTTTTATTGTATACTTTTAATTTCCAGCGTAAGATGTCTGATTGATTGACATTTTCTTATATCAGAAGGAATGTTAAAAACTCTTTCATTTATTTTTCAGAGAGAAGGAATACTTTCTTTCATTTTTGTTGGTAGGATTATCAGGTTTAGAATTATTATTATTTTTTTTTTTCTTTGAGCTGTTTTTTGGCCATATAAACAAATTTCTCCTTGTGTTAATAATAAAATAAGAATTTATACCTTTTTCTAAATTTTTTTTATTAGAGAAGAGGAAAATGTGGAATCAAGTCCTTTCTTTTGTGCATAAACGTGGCTTTCAGGCAGAAAATTTGTCGTGTTTATTTTTCTTTGCGTTTATGTTCGAACGTTGAGTTCGGAGATAAAAGAAGGTTTCCTCTTTATTATTATTATTTTTTAAGGTCAGATTCCCTCTTCCCTTTCCATCTTTTGTATTTTACTTTTTTTTTTTTTTTTAGAAACACTTGCTAAGACATTTTGTCTATTATCAAATATATAAGATAGATTATCTTTGAATAATTAAAGGCTGTAACAAAAAGAAGGTTATTAGTTATAAATCATTCAAAGTTGTTGAGTATATTTTAGTACTAATTTTTTGAAATTGCCCAAGTCCAGGCATTGACCAAAAATAATTCAGCTTTGTTCAACTTTCTAACTTGATGGCTCTATCCTATGCAAAGACACGTTAGTGAAATCACCCTTTTTTTAAAAAAAAAAAAATCATAAGTAGATAGATTATTCAATTTTTTAAATTAAAATGTACAATATTTAATAATTTAAAACATATAATTATAAATCATACATTCAATTTATGAATTATCAATAAAATTTAAACTCAAAATCTTTTCATACAAAAAACGATCTTAACCGAACTAACTACTTGTTAATAAATCAATCTAATTTGAATATTTCAATACTTACTTTAATTTTTCACTATTAATTTAAATGGTTATAAGATTTTATTTTATTTTTTTATATTATATATATATATATATTCAAAGATTGCATCTACAACATGTACGATTTATAGTTAACCATATACGGTTTGTTTTCAACAAGGTCCAATTTGTCACTAGCAACTATTTCATCGGCGAATTAAGATTGGAGCGATGAGTTCACATTAAAGACGGAGAAGGCAACTTGAGACCCACACTTCCGGCTTTTAAGGTGGGCCTGTATCATTAACCAAAGCCTATCCGTCTGCCTGCCTGCTGCCGACCTTCATCCAACACAATAAATTGCTCGCTAGCTGAAACGGCTGAAAAATGCCAGAAACAATTGGTTTCATGCATTATAACCACATCAATCACTCAAAAAAGCATGCAATTTAAGCTTCAACTTCATCAACAAGATGCTAACATTGACAAATTATTTACGGTTTCAGGATCTAATCCATGTTTAAAAAAAAGTTAAAATATTAAAAAAAATCTTAAAATTTTTATTTTATTTAAATAAATTTTTTGACTTATATTACACCCAAATAATCTTTAATTTTTAATTTTCATTTAAATAAATTTTTAATTTTTAATTTATATAAATCAATTTTTTATTTGAAAAAAAAACTTATATATATTCAAATAAAAAGATATAAATTTATTTAAATACAATAAAAATCTAAATATTTATTTAAGTAAATTAAATAATTCAAATTTTTTTAATATTTTGGTGTTGAAAAAATTGCTAATTCAGATCATTTTCACTCTACTTATCATGTCCTTCACCACCAAGGCCTAAAGGACTCGCTGAATTGACCCATCTCTTACACCCATCCCAATCTCCCTCATAACATCTCCTTGGTTCTCACGTAAGCTCATTTCATCACCAAAGAAAGAAATAAAAGTACATCTCACAATTATCATCCAACAACAATAAATAATTTAATAAAAAATTAATTTTACTTTTAAGGACCGATTCGCACAATCTCCAACCAGTCTACTTTTGTTTTTTCATTTTGAAAAAAAACAAATTTACATGCAGCCCCCTAAACTACTCCAAAATATTACAAGAGTTAAGTCTTGCTTTGTTTTTTTTTTTTTTTTTATGGCGTTGACTCGAAAACTAGTCCCAAGGCAGGAGCCATGTTCTCTTGCATCGCGGGTTGAGAGTGGCGGTGCTCCCCTTCGTAAGTTACAATCAACATAGACGGATCATCTGGGGCTCGCTCCACGTGTTTCCTTGCAGGGCACCCTCTGATGGTACTGCACTTGTAATATCCCCTGGCAAATTCAAGACAAAACTCAAATCAGAACGGATCCTAGAAAAGCCCTGTCATCTGATTTGATGATCTAGTGATCAGCGGTTGCAGATTCAGGAATACAGTAATTACCGTGGGTATGGCGAGCCCTTGATCGGCTTTTGCCCGTACTTCCTCCAAGAATATTCGTCTGGTGGAATATCGGCGATCTTCGAACTGATAGCTGGAACTCTGATTACTTTCTTCAGCCTATTTTTTCTGAAATATTAAGAACAAATACAAGCATTAGGCAAAATTGTTCCAAAATGTTTTATTGAACATAAAGTAGACTGAGTAGTATTTTGGATTTCTATCATGCACTAAAAGTGCTATCTTGAGTCGCGTGCGTATGTGTCCGGTTTCTTTTTATACCGAAGTTCAAAATTTGATGCGCCCTTCACTAAAATTTAACTTTTGTCTTTCTAACGCGTGCTCCATCGTTTAATAGCTAAACTGTTCGACAACCCCAACGTTGACCCATAACTCGCCAAAATCGAGAAGAGTCCAACTTGACTCGGTCGATTCAGATGTAACTCGACTTAGGATACTTATGACTCACTGAATTATTCATAATTCAAAAACAACTTCCTTACGGAATCCAATAAAGTCAAAATCTAAAGCTGACTGCTAAATAGACTATATATTAAAAAAGCCCTAGAAAAATCATAGTATTTACCTTCGTTTCGAGCAATGACACTTGCCGTTGATAGAGCCGGAAAACTTGCCGGAGAAGTTATCGGAGTGGTCATGTTCGTGGCACCTTTTCTTGTATGAAGAGGATAGCGGTGGTTTTCCTGCGGAAACGGCAGGCTTCGGCGTCAAGAATAGAGAGGACCCTTGCTTCCCGTTGGAAACGCTACCTTCTCCGGTGATCGCGGAAGACATAAACGAAGAGTTCGACGAAACGCTAAAGCTTTCTTTTGTAAACTCAAACTCGGTACTTTTAGTGTTGGCGCTAAACAAACTAGGTTTTGTAAAGTCGAGAGTCAAACTCTGTGGCTGCGATTGAACGAAACTAACCGGAGCCGCAGCCGGTGTTGCAATCGGAGCCGGAATTAGACTTAGATTCTTGTGGGAATTAGGAACAGTTAGAGAAGCAGAGGATGATGATGGGGAAGACGAGGAAGATGAGGACTGAATCGGTCCGCGTCTGAACCGGGCGTGACCAGTTCGATTGAGTAGTGAGATGACTTTTTTGAACTTAGAGACAGTGAGATCGGCGACGTCAGTGCAATCGACGTGGTTTGACTGGTGAGAAAGAAGGCGGATCAAGTGCTCCATGCTCTTCAATCCTTGTGATGCAGCCTCTTGAATAGCCGTCTGATCATCCATCTTTGGAAAACTCATCAGATCCAACGCCATTTTCGGAAAACAACGACGACAAACAGGGAGACGAAGCGCACAGGGAAGATGAATTGAGAGGTCAACAACTCATTGAAGCCTGCAAGATGAGAAATGTTGAAGATGAAGGGGAAAGAGTAAGTGGAGTTTGGAGAGAAGGGGGTAATATAAGGGTTAAATGATACCGGGTGACCGGGTAACAGATTGGCTAAGAGTCAAACTGGAGTTTTGATCCAACGGCTAAGATTTGTTTGAAGATTTCAATGGAAGATGGTTGAATAAACAAATCGTGGGCATTGTCTCTTTGAAGTTGTGGGTGGTGGGCCCCAATGCGGAGAGAATATGAGGTCATACTTGTTTTTGGTCCAAAGGAGTGATTAAGGGGGTTTGAAATTTTCGTGGAAGGTTGAAGAAAACAATTAACTGATCAACAACAATGACGATTCTAGAACAAACGATTCTCTGTTACAAATCAAAGTAACAAAGCGGTTCAAAGGTATGTTTGGATTCAACATGGAATTTTAGTAGACTTTTTCATTTTTTCTATTTAAAGCTTTTTTTTACACATGGGGTTTGTTTGAAACGAATGGGATTCTAACTCTTTTATTGGAAAGCTAAATTTTACATTACAAATCAAATTACTACTTGTTCAATTTGATTTTGACGGTAATTTCTTCACATAATGAATCTTGGAACTAAAATGAATGGCAAAGGTAAATAATTTTTCGTTGATAACTTCATAAATTTTGTTAAAAAAAATTATTTGGGCACCAGCGTTCAAGTTAAGTTTTTCACGCTTTATATTTCTGTATTGAATTGAAATTTCAATTAGGTTTAGTCAACTATTGAAATCTTAATTTTTTATACTTATATTGAATTCTTCATAAGCTGTCATCACCCTTACACAGTTATTTGAATAAGTAAATGTTAATTTAGGAACATTAATAGTGGCGAGGCTTTTAAATTTTATGTTGACCGGAATTATCACGTTTTCAAAATGTATTTCTTCTGGAATCTGTGTGATTAAATTAGTGCTAATAACTTTAATTATGTCTTTTTGAGTCTAGTCTAACAAAACTATTCCCTTAATAATTTATATGAAAGACCAAAAACAGTAAGGAACAGTAAATGGTAATAGTACGAATACCGGTTGCTCAGTTTGCTGACAGGAAATTACCTATATAACGACAGGATGAAACACGGTAAATAAAGAATAAAAATATAAAGAAAGCTGACTAAAAGTGGAGATCACGTGTTATCATTTCTTTTTTTTTTTAATCTAAAACTGTTGACCAAATTTTTTCTACGTAACCAGGTGATGCCGGTAATTATGTCCTGAACCGTTCGATTGCCCCCTCTAATCTAACGGTTGTTTAGCACATGAAAGAGTTGACTAATACTTTAATTATTTTTTCGATAACCTAAAAGTGCTAGGGTTATTGTATTCTGACACGTGGCAAATGCTTTAATGGGTCATTATAAATTTATAATTAGGTGGTGCCCACCGCCCATTGTAGAAGTGGAAAAATGAGGTCTGTCGCACTGTTCTTTTGAAGCTGTTTTTTTCCATAATTCAGTATTCACAATTTATGCTTATTCCGCATTTTTTTTCCCTTCAAAATGCACTACAAATATTTTTTTTAATTTCTTTTTGGCCACAAAATTTTAAAATTTAATTTTAAAGACCTTCTTTTTTCCAATATAAACGGAAATTCAAGAAAATATTACTATTGTTGAACTGTTTTGGTACATCATGGCCAAAAAACAATTGTTTTAGTCAATTTTGGTGGGCTTCGTAAAAAGGTATTCTTCTTTTTCCCTAAAATAATTATACTATTATTATCTTAATAATAATTTTGATTAACAATGATGATCAATAAATCATGAGCATTTTATTTGTAATTGTTTTATGATAATGTTATAATTAATTATAATAAAAATTATATAAAAATTCATCATTTATAAATATAAATTTTATGTAATTTTTTTATAATTTTATATAATATTAATTTATAATTAATTATATTACAATTATTATTTTTGGTATGTTTCTCCATCAATCAAAAACAACTTTGCTGTGAACTTTTGACTTTGTCTCAAAGCTCTTCTTTTTTTTCTCTCTCTCTCTCTCTCTCTCTCCCCCTTGTCAACGGCCCCTGCAGTAGTATGATTATTATTAATCATTAACATAAGGGTTGACCAAGTGATAAACTGAACCATTAAATTTCTTTTTCTTTTTAAATAATAACGTTCACATAAAATTAGCACATAATAATCAATGAAAAAATAGGTACATAATTACTACAAACTTCTAATACAATTTTTTATTACCAATGATATAGCATTTTTTAAATGTGTGAATTAAAAATTTTCATTCATCTTGCATTTAAAATATATATATTAATCTTTAAATTTCTTCAACGTATCGATAACAAGTAAATTAAAAGAAAAGCAACAGTACATATACATGAATTGTGGTTTTTATAAGGATTAAAACATTTCAAACGATTCATGTGAGGATTTGATTCTTCTTAAATATGTTATAGTCAATGAAAAAAGAGCTTCTCCGATACTTTGATTGCCTACATTGTGAGGGAAGGCTGGCTTTTGTGTACTCTTATTGATAATAAATTCATAACATTTGTCAACTTGTTCCATTTCCATTCCTAAACAAATATTATTTCTGACAGAGATGTTAGTTTTTATTGTTTATTTATTTCTATAATGTTACAATTTGAATTTGAAGCCATTTTAAGGATAATTATATAAAGAAATTATAAAATATATTTACAGTGAAATTATTAGATTTCACATGCGAGGTTAAAAATATGATGTATACTATTTAAAGTATATATTAAAAATAATAATAATTAAAATATAAATGGAGCATTTGTTATATTTTAATATTATTTGTGAAATTTTACATTGATAATATATAAAATGCTAATTTAACTATACAATACTAGTAAGTTTTTTAGGAAATATCAACTTACACCAATTAAAAGGTTTTCATTATTTTTTAATTATTGATTTGATTAGATTTAATAGATAAAAGGAACAAATTAAAATGAAAAAAATTTTAATCTTATTCATTAAATCTGTTAAAATTAATTATTATAAAAAATGTAATTTTTTTTTTTTGTATAAATTGATCTCTCTCTTAACATTTTTTTAATATTTTAATATTAAAAAAAAGAAACAGTGATTTATATTGTTTATATTCGAATTCAAATTTTACAAACGTTACTAACATGAAATTTTAAAATAAGGAATATATATATATATAAATATTTATTGAGGCTATTGTTAAAATTAATTAAAATTAGTGACAATTCATTATATTGATATCAAATTTTATAAAAATTATTACTTAAATCATTACTTTTAATATAATTACATTTAATCAACAATTATGCAAAATTATATTAATAACAATTCTCACCATTATAAAAATTTAATTACATAAGTCTTAGTAGACCAGTACTAACTAGGATCGTAGTATTTTAAAAAATCCAAAGTAATATTATTGTGATATTTAAGATTATAAAAAAAATACAATTTAGTTCATTAAAACTAAAATTTCAGATCATATAACCATTATCAAAAAAATATTAATCTTTCCTCAACCGGCTTTTTCGAATTTGTTACTTTTATATAATTTTCGCCATGTTGAATTAAATAATATACTACTTGTCATTTCTTAACTAAGAACAATTTGCAGATTAGTTTGACTTGGATTAAATTATTATAGCAAAATGCGAAAAGAAGGAATATAAAACTTTAGTTGGTGGTGCTAAGCAACATTTCCAAAGGATTTGGTGGAAGATTTGATTCCTTGACGTGGACTCTGACAGCTGGCCCAACGAAACCAACACCTGATGATGCTTCCTCTCTGTGAAAAATCAATCCATATGTTTTATGGTAGTAATACATAATAATAACATTAGTTTTTATCATTTTATTTTTCTTTTCTAAAATTATTTTAAGATTTGGTTTGGATTCAATCACATCTTTGATGGAGTTGCGATTGCAATCAAATTATGTGTCCACTGACAGTTTGACACCCAATCAGATCTTCGGTGCAGTGAGGCCACTAGCAATTGCACCATAGCTTTTTTTTTTTTTTTTTTTTCATTTTTACCCCTAAAATTTTAATGTTAATACAAAAAAACCTTATTTCTTATTTATTTTTTGAATTTAATTGATTTTTTATTATATGATAAATTAATAAAAAATTTTATTATTGTATAATTAATAAATAAATTTTATTTTAATTTTTTATTATCAATTTTTAATTATTTATTCACAAAACTAATTTTTAAAATAAATTAATAATTCTTTATTACATACAATTTTTATTATAATAATATATTTAATAGTTATTTTTTATTTTCATTACAATTAATCTTAATATTATTATTATTTTTATATTTAAATACATATCTCATCATTCATCATTAATTTTAATTTTTTTATTAAATTAATTAATCTCACTTTTATCATTATTTTAAATTATATTGAAACCAATTTTATTAATCATCAAAATAAACTCTAATAATCTTTATAATAAATTTATGCCCTCTGAACTTCAAAACCATCTTAAATGTTGACAATGAAAGAGCCTACAAAGCAGACTCAATTTCACGAGTCAGGTACATATTTCTTGGCCACCATTAGCCCTGACACAGTCATTGCATTATTGTAAACGTACGGTGTGAAACGTAGTTTTCCTTTCATATATTTTTTTTCCTTCATGTTTAACTGGTTTTGTAAAAGCACGAGTTCTGATTTCCGACTATCTTCTGGGAGGTTCGGACGTAAGGGGATATTGCTTGTATTCCACGTGCCGTGGACCAGGGGGTGTTGAATATTGCCGGGAAACTTTTAATTGTGGCTTTGGAATTAGAATAATAGTGGATTACTTTCTTGGAAACCCACTAAAAGATGCTTTCTCTTTTATATAAATTCAGTGAACGTGTGCGACAGAATTGGATTCCCCCCATTAAGGGCTAAAGACTTTTCTAATTTCAAACTCGGGCATCACTCTGTCAATAGTCAACCTGCTTTTAACCAGAGGAGAATCCATTTTCCTTTGCAAATCTTCTAAAATAATGGCATTCCCTTGATTCCAAATTATAAATTAACTTCGCTTTACCGGTTTAAATTTACGGGAGTATTTTTTTTAGTAAAAATTTGAAGGAAAATGTTAAGCATGCACATTTCTCATACATCTTGATCATGCTTCAATGAAGAAACAACTCGAGACTGAGAAATTAACCATTATCGTTCTTTCTTGAGAAAGAATGAAAGAGATTAATTACCACTATGATAAGCATCCGTCTCTACGATGTCTCAGTTTCCTTCATAATCTAAAAATTCATTTGACTTTAATCGAAGTTTCGATATGGTGCGATTTAAGCAATTATTTTCTAATCGTGCCAAAAATTGTTGTTCGGTAAGCATTCTCATGAAGAGCAATGGCTTATACTGTACAAGGATAGAGTGGCTTATCGTGATGTGTATTGGATAATAATGTTCGTATTGTTTACTTTTTATTTCTTGTTTTACCTTTAAACTCGTAGTGATAGGACTTAAATACCCAAAATACCCTTAATTAATCAAAATATTACATTCTCGGTCTTATCATGTTTTTTTTTTTTTTTTTTAAATTTTTTACCTATATCAAAATATTACATTATTATTTGTAATATAAAATAATATTATCAATAATTTGATTGAATAATATTTTTAAAATTTTAGATATTAAATAATATTAAAAATATTAATAAAATAATATATTTATATACTTTAATATTAATATCTTTAAAAATTATTTTTTATTTCATCACTATTTTTTTTTAATCAAATATATATCTTATCTTTAATTTTAATTTTTTCATTATAATATTCAATCTTACTATTATAAAAATTAATCTCACTGCTGATATTATTTTTAATCTCATAACCTATTTAAATTGACCCGATTGCTTCGATTAGGACTTTATTTATTTATTTTGGAGTAAAACAAAATCGGGCTTTCTGCCTAATGCTCGATCAGCCTCGCCCAAAGTTGCAGCCCTATTTACGGGTCTTCAGTCTTCACATTTTGGGATCGAAACCCTTTAAGAGACGGATGTGGACACGATCACAAAAGATGGGCCAAAAGCCAGATCTTAACTCTCCTGGACAGCTGCCATCGGCTCACATAAACAAAAGGGGCCCACTTGCTATGGGCGCATTGGCTAAATTTCCATGTAGGTCTGGGTTTCGTTTCATGTGAAGGAACCAAATCCCAACGTTTACCGTTTCTGATTACGGCAAGCAAGAAAGCAGTGAAACATATGCGGAATTAGACCTCTCACCTACACAGACTCAGGATTGACGAGTTTGCGTTAGATCAAAGTAATAAACATACCCACACAATTACATGTACGCGCATAGGTTCGCCTAACTTTCTTCCAGAACAAAGCAAAATTTGGCAACAAACAACCTCCTTCGCAACGCCACGGTATCAATCGGATCGGGGCAATTCCAGGTATTGCTATTGCAATCTTTCGACAAATAGGTTTTTTTATCGTCAATCAAATTTGCCTTGATGTGATTCTCTGGAATTAGGGCTGGAATCTTTGGTTGCTTATTCTTTGAATATTGGGATTGGGGATTCTGTTTTATTTTTGGTTACGTGAAAATGTTAGAGAAGGAAAATCAAATTAAGTTATTCATCTTGCAATTTTCCCCATCAAAATTACATTTTTTTTTTTCAAAATCTTCAACCGACATGGTCTAACTCTGCAGCCATTGGAGGCTTATATGTTTATTTAATTTGATAATAATCGTTTCTAATTTATTGATTTGTGTTTGTTTGTTGTGGGCGTAGTTAAGAGGGAGATCCTGATGGTGATTGAGACTTGGCCTTGATTTATAAAGGGGTTTCGAGTGGGGAGCAAAAACGGAGGGGATCGGATGGACAAGAACAAGAGTCGTACCGATCTGCTCGCTGCGGGACGGAAAAAGGTTTCCATTATGTGTACTCTTTTATCATTGATTTTGGGCTATTGTCTCTTTTTTCCTACGCACTCTGGCTGTCTGGTTATACTCTTTCTCTTAAACCATGACTTTTCTTTGAGGGCTGGAATTTCCTACTGGGTGCTTATAGTTAACTAGCATGGTATTACTGCTTTTGATTTGTTCCTACTCTAGCTACTGATTTCTAGTGTTCCTTCAACCCGTGTTTACTTCTTTTGCTAATGAAAAGAGCTGAAGAAAATCAAATCTGTCTCGGGTATGCTGCACTTAAAGTAGAAGTTTAAACTTTAGCTATTTTAAAATCCTTTATTTACTTCACTTGAGTATAACCTATTCATTTCTAGCTTATGAGATGCAACGTCTTAGTCCGTTTTGAAGGTAATAGGATTGATTAGAGTTTAATTTTATGTCATCTTTTATCAGCTTCAACAATTTCGCCAGAAGAAGGATGGTAAAGGAAGTAGCAGTCAAGGAATGTCTTCCAAAAGATCTAACAAATCCGAGCAGCATGAATCTGATGCTGGTGCAGCATCTTCTGTTGCCAAACCAAAAGTCTCTTCGCAGGTCTCTGAAGGGGAAGTTGCTGCTGTTGACTTGGCAGCATTGCAGTCTATGGAGAGTTCATTGCCTTCTGGGCTTGATACTACTGCAGTTGTTTCATCACTGGAGCCCATTGCATCTGCGACAGTCAATGTCAAGACTGTAGTAGCCCATAATGCAGGAGTACCCACTGACTTGGTAGCCCTTGGTGAGTGTGATGTTGATTCTTCAGTCCCTAATGGAGGGGAAAGTACTCAGAGTGTTGACAGTTTGACAAGCACAGAAATACCTTGCTCACCTGAGGATATCCCAGCTTTTGAAGGGGAAACAAAAGATGATGTTGTGCCACATCCATCTGCTTCAGTTGATAACATGGAAGGGACAGTAGTTAAACTTGATTTGGCAGGTGTCAACAAGGAAATGGGGCAGAATCCGCTGCTTTCACAAGACTATTTTCCTGATATATCCTTGTCTCAAGCAAGGGGAGATCAGGTAACAGATGTAGGTTGTGCTCTCCTTCTCTTGGTACATTGTTTTTAATTTTTTTTCTCAAATTCTCTTTGTTATGGGATTGCATTGGGCAAAATTGGGATGAGTTATGTGTGGTTTTGATGTATAATTAAATTCTCATTTGTTGCTGGGTAGGGGCAATGCAGGAATCTGATGGTTTGGGGTTGAACCAAGTTGATAGAGGTGGTGAAACAGAGTTTGAAGTTGATGGTAGACTTCCTTTGTCTGAGTACGGTGAATGTGCTGAACCTCTTGGAGGGACAACTTCAGAAGTAACTAGCATGGAGGGGCCATCCAGCGAGGCAGAACAGGCTGTCAGCGGAGATGATGCATCTGTATGTACTGGGGCAGCCAGCTGTTCCCAGGCAGATGGAAGTTTGGCTGCTAATTCTCAGTTGACAACTAAGCAGGCTGAAGATGTAATACCTTGTTCATCTGTTGAAGAAGAACAAGAAATGTGCTCTCCATTTGGTGATTATGGTTGTAACAAGACTTTAGAAGGAGATCAGAAATGTTTACCAAAGGGCTCCTTTGTGTCTCAGGATAGAAGTCATGAAAGATCTCTTCAGATGAAAGGGGCAAGTTCATCAGATCTGACTCTGACTCTGACTCTTTTCAGAGATGGTTCTCCAGTCAGACTCTCTCAGTTAGTAGAGCTGATAAGAAGTCTTGATGAAGATGAATATAGGCTTCTGCTAAACTTGCAAGAATTGGTTTCTGTTGCAAATGTTGGGACTGATAATTTAGCACCATCTTACCATCCAGATTTATTTGAGAAATTGAAAGAGGAATTATATCTCACAAGTCTTAAAAAAGATATATTTTACTTACAGCTTTCTGAGCAGTCAGATCTGCATTTGGAATCTGATCGGCATTGTCAGCAGCTTATTGATGAGATATCTGTGCTTCGCACTTCAGTCAATGAGGTTCACGAGGGGAATGCATGCCTTGCAGAAGAGCTAGCACGATGCAGGTCTGAACTCCATGTTTTTGCTAGTGGAAGGGAGGAGCTGCAAAACCAATTTCATACTGCTTTGGCACGGGCTGAGGAGTTTTCTTCTAGAGCAAATGAGTTGCAGATTAGACTGGAAAGGTCACAAGAGGACTTATCAAGCCTCTTGTCTGAATTAGCTGAGTGCAAGAATCAGGTGGACACTTTACAGCTGGATAATGAGAACTTGAATAGGACTCTTCATTTGCTATCTGAGGAGAGAAAGACACTTGCAGAGGAAAAGGAATCTTCTCTCAATGAGAATGAAAAACTGTCAATAGAGTTAGCTAGATGCAAGGATTTGGTGGTAACTTTCCAGGAGGAGAGTGAGCAGTTAAATTTGAGTCTTGCTTCACTGACTGAGGGGAGAAACACACTAGTGGATGAGAAAATGTTGTCTATTCGTGAGAATGAGAAGCTACTGACAGAATTAGCTGACTGCAAGGTTTTGATTGCGGCTTTACAGGTGGAACATTCTGACATAAGCAAGAATCTTGCTCTAATGACGGAACAGAGAATGAAGCTTGAAGAAGAAAAGGAGTTTCTTGCTCATGGGAAAGAGAAAGCAGAGCTTGACTTGGAAGAGTGTAAGGATTTGTTGGCTGCTTTACAAGTTGAAAGGTCCAACTTGAATGGGAACCTTGCTTTCGTTACAGAGGAGAAAAGGAAGCTTGAGGAGGACAAGGAGTATTTTGTCCATGAGAACAAGAGACTTGCTACTGAGCTACTTGTTCTTCAAGAGCAGCTAACTAAAGAACGTGGGGAACACATACAACTTGAGGCTGAGCTAAAAGATGTAACAGTACGCCTAGAGAAGCTAATGGAGGAAAATTGTTTTCTCAATGCCAGTCTGGACATACATAAGGCCAAGAAAGTGGAAATTGATGGTAAGGAAACCCACAATGTTGAAGCAGCGAGTCAAGTAAAAAGTTTGGATGTGGATAGCGGGGTCCATGAAAATGAACATTCCTGTAAAAGCCCTTGGAAACGAGATCCTGAAGTATCCTCTATGGTATTGGAGAAAGCCTTACCTGATGATGTTGTTGGTGGGCCATCACTTGTGCTGCTTGAGCAGGAAGTCTTTGATGATTCTTCTGGTTTTCTTGTCTTGAAGGGACACTTGAAGGAGGCTGAGAGAATATTGCAAAACCTTGGAAAGGCAATTGAACAGATGTACTCTCATTCAGCCTCAGTACAGTGCTCCAGCAGTAAATCGGCTGCACCAGGAGTATCAAAACTGATTCAAGCCTTCGAGTCAAAGGTGCATCATGATGAACCTGAGGTTGAGGAAAGAGATTTGACGGAATACCAATTACTGGGAGACCTGTTTAATTCAACTAAAGAGGTAACAGAAAATCTGAGAGCAATGCTTAAGCTCTTGGGTCAGGATGCTGATAATGCCAGTTCACTCTATAGAGGAGAGAGGGATAGTAGAAAATCTTCTAATTTCTCATTTGGTGAGCTCAGGGTTCAACATGCATCTTTGAAGGAATACAGTGATAATCTTGAAGCAATCAGCATCGAGCTGGGGATTTTGTATGAAGCTGCTAAGCAACATGCATTTTTAATTGAAGCTAAGAACAATGAACTTGAGGTTCTCTATGAAGCTCTAAAGCAGAAAGAAAGTGGCCTCAGTTCAGAAAATGCTGAGCTTGGTGAGAAATTGATTGAGTATCAGTTGAGACTTACGGAAATGGAGGGTCAATTTTCTGATTTACAGCAAAGGTCAGATGAGATGGCTTCTGCTTTAAATCGACAGTTAGAAAGTTCGAGGAAGGAAGCAGCTGAGAGGGCATTGACGCTTGAACTAGAATGGAAATCTACAGTTACTCAGATTGTTGAAACGGTCAGGAGGCTTGATGAGTCTGTTGGGAGGGTTTCCAACTCCAGCTTCTCAAATAACAGCAATGATATCTTGGATACAAATAGCCAGGTTGCTACATCTGTTAGTTCTGCCATTAATTCTATCCAGGATCTACAAGAGAAACTAGAAGCTGCTTATGCAGATCATGATGCAATGTCTAATTCATTCAAAGAAGTCAATGAGAAGTATAATGATTTGCTCAGGAAGAATGAATTGATGACAGGGATACTACATGAGTTGTACAATGACCTGAAGAAACTTGTGATTGATTCATGTGCATATGTGGGCGAGGCTGAGGTGAATGTGCTAGTCCAGAAGCTGCCTGAGCCCTTAGATTACAGCAAGTATAAGATCTTTGTCAAACAACTGGAGAATGTTTTGGGTGAAAGGATGCAGCTTCAGTCTGTTAATGACCAACTTAATTCAGAATTGATGAATAGGACAAGGGGCTTTGAGGAAATGAGCAGAAAGTGCCTTAATTCAAATGCCATTCAAAAGCTTATAGAACATGTTGAGAATGTTGTAAAACTGGAAGACTATGAGAGTGACTCAGATAAAGCACCTGGTTCCTGCCTTGAATTGTTAGTTTGTTTGCTTGTTAAGAAATACAAAGAAATTGTTGAGCAGGTGAGTGATTGTAGACAGGAGTTTGGATCTAAGGTGGCTGAACTGACAGAAGTAGAGGAAAAGATACATCAGTTAGATGCACTGAGACTTCAGCAGGAACTGGAAATCCTTACTCTGAAAGAAAGTTTGCGGCATGAAGAGGAAGCCCTTATGGGTGCACGTTCCGAGTTAGAGGCAAAAATAAGTGAACTTGAACAGTCAGAGCAGCGAGTGTCTTCTGTTAGGGAGAAGCTTAGCATAGCTGTGGCCAAAGGGAAAGGTTTGGTGGTGCAGCGTGATGGTCTTAAACAATCACTTGCAGAGACATCTGCTGAACTAGAGAGATGCTCTCAGGAATTACAGGCAAAAGATTGCCGGCTTCAGGAATTAGAAATAAAACTGAAGACTTACTCAGAGGCAGGTGAACGTGTGGAAGCTCTGGAATCTGAACTTTCATACATTCGCAACTCAGCTACTGCATTAAGAGAATCATTTCTTCTCAAAGACTCTGTACTGCAGAGAATTGAAGAGATTTTAGAAGACCTAGATCTGCCAGAGCATTTCCATTCTAGAGATATAATTGAAAAGGTTGATTGGTTAGCGAGGTCCACCACCAGTAATTCTTTGCCTCCCACTGATTGGGATCAGAAAAGTTCTATCGGAGGTTCACACTCTGATGCAGGTTTTGTCACTGTGGATACCTGGAAAGAAGATGCACAACCAAGCTCAACTTTAGGGGAGGACTTGAAAAGAAAATATGAGGACCTTCAGAGCAAATTTTATGGGTTGGCAGAACAAAACGAAATGCTGGAACAGTCTTTAATGGAAAGGAACCATTTGGTGCAAAAATGGGAGGAACTTTTGGATTTAATCGATGTGCCTTCACAGTTGCGGTCCATGGAACCTGAAGAAAAGATTGAATGGTTAGGAGGGGCATTTTCAGAGGCTAATCATGATAGAAATTCTTTGCAGAAGAAGATTGATAACCTTGAAAATTATTGTGGGTCACTAGCTGCTGATTTGGAAGAGTCTGAAAAGAGAGTATCTGACGTTGAGGCAGACCTTCAATCAGTTACTCTTGAGAGGGATCATCTTGCTGAAAGATTAGAGACTTTAACTTCTGATCATCATAACCTTTCGGCGAAGGCAGCTCATTTTGAACTTGAGAATGAAAAACTTCAGATTAAAGTTAGTGGTTTGCAGGAAGAATTGTCTAAGAGGATTGAGGAGGAGGAACATCTTCTCAAGATGGAAGGTGAAATAAGGAGATTGCAGTACTTGGTATCTGATGTGTTGCAGGATCCAGAGGCAAAAGATTTGGTTTCTGGTGGCAGTAGTACTGCATGCTTGGAAAGATTACTGGAGAAACTTATAGAGAATTACACTAATCTCAAGTCTGTGAATCCTGAACTTGTGGATATTGAAATGGACCAGACCAAGCTACCTGATGCAACCCTTGATGAAGCTAGAAGCAGGGATACAATGACTACTCAGGAGGATGTAGCTTCTTTAAAGAAAGAGCTGGAGGAAAGGCTGCATGACTTGATGCAAGTGAAGGAGGAAAGAGATGAAATCCTTGGAAAGCATCAATCTTTGCTTCATGAAGTTGAAGCACTCGAAAGGAAAACGGTGGAGTTGCAGGAGCTACTTAATCAAGAAGAGCAGAAGTCAGCTTCTGGGAGAGAAAAGTTAAATGTTGCTGTTAGAAAAGGGAAATCTTTGGTGCAACAACGGGACAGTCTGAAGAAAACCATTGAAGAGATGAATGCTGAACTGGAACAGTTGAAATCTGAGCTTAGTGACCGGGAAAATACTCTGTCTGATTATGAATTGAAGATGAGGGAATTCTCTGCTTACCCTGAAAGAGTAAAAGCCTTAGAAGCTGACAGTTTGTTCTTAAGGAATCATCTGACAGAAACTGAGCACATGTTGGAGGAGAAAGGACATATTTTAACTAGGGTATTAAATGCAATAGCTGACATTGATGTTGGTGTTGAAATTGAAATGTTTGATCCGGTGGAGAAGTTGGGACGAATTGAGAAAGTGTGCCATGATTTGCATGCAGCTGTGGTTTCTTCTGAACAAGAGTCACGGAAGTCGAAGAGAGCTGCAGAGCTACTGCTTGCAGAGTTGAATGAAGTGCAAGAGAGAAACGATGGTCTGCAGGAAGATTTAGCAAAAGTTGCCAGTGAACTTACAGAAGTCATGAAGGAAAGGGATGCGGCAGAGGCTGCAAAACTTGAAGTTCTCTCACGTCTTGAAAAGTTATTTACAGTTCACTCTGAAGAAAAAAGGAAACAGTATTCTGAATTAATGATGTTACAATCTAGTGTAAATGAACTGAGGACGGGTGTCAATGATATTCATAATCTTTTGTCCAATGTTTTCTCAAAGGACTTGGAATTTCTGCAAAATTTGGAGGCTAACATTAGTTCATGCTTGGAAGCAGATGATGCCCAAGATGCGTCTGGCTCACCATACAGTATATCCAGCAATTTAGAGGAAAAGGTAATGCTCCTTTCTGCATGCAGTTTGGGTATTCCTTTTTCAGTAAATCTAGTGATTTGCCTCTGTCATGTTTTCTTTTGTATTTGTCTGCTGTAACCAGTTGATGGTTATACTTCCTGTAGTGCTACTGTAAATATATTTTATTTATTTTTGAGTAGCATTCAAGTTATCAATATTGAACAAAAACCTTTTGATTGGCCAAAAAATAAAAACCGTTGTTGTCTCGTAGGTGTATTTTCTATGAATAGATTGTTAATTTTAATTATTTCTTGGTTTCCTCCTCAGGTGAACTTTCAATCCATGGATGCTTGGTCAGTCGTCAATATGCAGGACCTTATGGATGACAATGCTATAGTCAAAGTTTGCAGTTTAATCAGGCATCACCTGCAAGATTTGACAACTGAAATTACTACACTCAAAGAAAAGTTGATTGTGCAGTCAAAATCATTACATGGACAAAGTCAAAGTATATGGAATGCACTGGGGATCTTGCATAGAGAAAGAAATTATCTGAAAGAGTCATTTGAAGCTATGAGGAGGAATATTCTGCATATAGAATCAGTTGGGAAAGAGAAAGATATGGAGATTGTTGTGTTGAGAAGAAACATTGCGTTGCTTTATGAAGCATGTGCTAATTCAGTCTTGGAAATTGAAAATAGAAAAGCCGAGCTATTAGGAAATAATTTGGCTACTGCAGGTCTGGTGACTAACATGAAGCCTGCAATATTAGCTGATGGAGGACTTTCTTTTGGTGGACAAAATAGTGTTTTGTCTGAGGAACATATCAAAACTATGGCAGATAAACTTTTGTCAATGATGAAAGATTTTTCGAGCATGAAAGCTGAAATTACTGAAGGAAACCAAAGGGAAATGAAAATTACCATAGCAAATTTGCAGAAAGAGCTTCAGGAGAAGGACATCCAGAAAGAAAGGATATGCATGGAGCTTGTTGGTCAAATCAAGTTAGCTGAAGCTGCTGCCACGAATTACTCACGAGATCTTCACTCTTCAAAAACACTGGTGTATGATTTGGAGAAAGAACTGGAAGTAATGAGGGAAGAACTGACGTCATTGCAGCAGAGAGTAAAAGAACTGCAGGATGTGCAAGCAAACACAGAGGAATTGCAGGGTAGAGTCAAATCACTGACAGATGTGTTATCATCCAAAGACCAAGGCATGTGTCATTGTTTGAATCCTACTTTTATTTTACTTATATATATATATATATATAAATATATATATTCATTCTGTTGGAATCCTTATTTGTGAGTGCTATTTGCTGACAGAAATTGAGGCACTTATGCAAGCACTTGATGAGGAGGAGTTTCAAATGGAAGAGTTGACAAAGAAGGTTGAGGAACTAGAAAAAGTCCTGCAACAGAAGAACACAGATTTAGAGAACCTTGAAGCTTCCCGTGGAAAGATTGTGAAAAAGCTTTCCATCACTGTAAGCAAGTTTGATGAGCTTCATAATCTATCAGAAAGTCTTCTTACCGAGGTTGAACAGCTGCAATCACAACTACAAGATCGGGATGCTGAGATTTCCTTCTTAAGACAAGAGGTTACCAGATGCACCAATGATGCTCTTGCTGCATCACAAATGGGCAATAGAAGAGACACAGATGAGATATATGAGTTTCTAACTTGGTTTGAGGCAGTTGTTTCTCGTGTTGGGTTACCTGATCTGCATTTTGATACGAATAATAGTCAGGTGCCTGAATACAAGGAAATAATACAGAAAAAGATTAGTTCTATTATATCTGAACTAGAGGACCTACGGGGGGTTGCTCAAAATAGGGATGAATTGTTGCAAGCAGAACGGAGTAAAGTGGAGGAGTTGACACGCAGAGAAGAAACTCTTAAGAAGACTTTGCATGAGAAGGAATCCCAATTAAATTTGCTTGAAGGTGTGGGAGATGTGGGTCAGGCAGCTAGTTTGAATTCTGAAATTGTGGAAGTTGAACCTCTGGTAAGTTATTTGATGTGTTTGCAATTTCCTTTAACAGTAGATGTGCAGTTAGGACCTCTACAAAGCCAGTGATAGGCAAACTGTGATGTGAATGAGGAAAACTAAGTTTTATTTCAGGATTTCCTGTTTCTCTATTTCTCCGTTTTCTGATCAACGTATCACATTTTATTCTGGAAGGGAGAAGTCTTGGCTGGGTTCATCACACATTCATAGATGCATTAATAATGCTATAGAAGCAAAATCTATATAGCAAATATATCAGCATTTGACACATATAGTATCTATGTATTGCTTATAAAGTGGACTGCTTTAACAAATAATGATGATTTAAAAGTTGATAGTTAGATATTTTCATCTTATCTGTTCACAAGAATAAGTTATACTTTTGCATAACCAACGGCAAAAATATTTTGTTGAGTAGTCTATTTTGCTGAATATTTGTGTAGATAAACAAGTGGACAGTAGCAGGGACCTCTACAGCATCCCAAGTTCGTAGTTTGCGTAAAGTCAATAATGATCAAGTTGCTATTCCTATAGATATGGATGATGGTAGTAATAGTAGGTTAGAAGATGAAGATGAAGATAAAGGTATTCTTTACTGTTTTTAAAACTTAATTTGTTCATACTTATTTCTGCTTCAAGTGAAGATAACTTTTAACTAAATGCATAAATTGTTTAGTCCTTACATTTTAATTTCATTGTTTGTTCAGTACATGGTTTCAAATCACTTACCACATCAAGAGTTGTTCCAAGGTTTACGAGACCGATAACTGATATGATTGATGGATTGTGGTAGGGTTCCTTTCGTTTTATCAGTTTGTGTTCATTTGAAGTAGTGCAAATTTCATTTGGGCTGAGGTTTAGTTTATTTATTACACACCAAAAGTAGCCTTTTTATAAAGTAACTATGTTATGTTTATGTTTATGTAATCTGTCAGGGTTTCTTGTGATCGAGCGCTCATGCGACAACCTGCCTTAAGGCTTGGCATTATAATATATTGGGCTGTACTGCATACACTGTTGGCAGCTTTTGTATTTTGACGAGCCAGGTTAGTAGTGGCCTCTTTCCCAGATGTAGTTATTTCATGGAGTTCTAGGATCGTGCTTGGTGAGTTTTTCTTTAACCTCCCTTGTTTTTCACTTTATATTTCAGAGTTATATGCCTGCAAATTCTGTTTGAGACTAGTATTATTCTAATTTTCCGTGGATTGCATTTCATAGATTTCTTTTATGCCTTGTATACTGACTCTTTTCCTTTTTCCTCTTATCAGTGCTTAATTTCTTTATCCATTTTCTTTCTTGTTTCTTACAAAGCCATCTTCTCATACTTGAGTTTATGGTCCTGCTGTTCTGCAGGTTATCCATTGTTTGTGTCAAAGTTTAGCAAGGAGAGCCAACCATGATTCTGCCTTCAAATGCTTACCAGGCTCCATAATCTTTTTTTTTTCCTTTTCTAAACATTGGTTCATTATTTAGCTCAACCAGGCAACTTTGATTTGCGGTTTTTATTTGTATGCATCTCAGATTGCTTGGTTATGTCCAATAAGGAAAAATCCTTGTTACAATTATGTATGGCATAGTTTAAGGATTGTTCACTTTGAACCAACCAAAGGTTCTATGATGCTTACTGCAGTTAAAAGATTTGTCTACAATCAACAGATTTTGTTTGTTACACACAAACAGGAATGCTGCATTTTAAATGGTGTTCTATCTTGTTCATTGTCAGCAGATTTTCATTACAGTTTGTGCCTATCTAATCTTATTTTCCACTGGTCGCTGCGTATCTCCCTCTCTCACCCGCACCCATCCTTTCTTCTCTTCTCTCTTTTTTCTTGCCTTAATCCTGAAATTGTCCTTTGAATGTGTGGGGCTTATATGGTGATAGTCAAATCCAACATAGTCTAACTTGAACTTCTGTCATACAACTATTGACTTGGCTGATTCATAAATTAGATGAGGTTGAGACAGATATTACTGATACAGCACGCAACATAGACCGGATAGAGAGCAAAATAAAAAAGTTTTATTCATTTTTCTTGATGATCATTCAACAGAAGAAAAAAAGGGAAAGCTTTGGGGTGGGGGGGGGGGGGGGAGAGAAGGGTGGGGTCAGAGTCCTGATGCGGGTGATATGAATGGGAACAATGAAGAAAAACTCAATACGTCGAAATTGGTTTTGGTTCACTCACAGTGCACTTGTTAATAGGCCAACTTGATCTCCAAAATCTTTAATGTTCCCTCTGGGATTCTCCTCAAATCTTGCTATCCTAAAGTGCTTTAGCTCAACTCCTTTTGCCTCTCCAGTAAGCACGAGATCAGCCAGTATCCTCCCAATCACTGGTGACATCTTGAATCCATGACCAGAAAAACCACCACCAATCACCACACCCTTCCCAAACTCCCCTCCCAGAAAATCAATCACAAAATCTTCATCCGGTGTCATCGAGTACGCGCACAATTGAGTTGTAACTGGCCCATTTGAATCAACCAACCCTCGAAATGTCTTCTCAATCCATTGCTTCAAGGAGCGGGGTATGATTCCAGGTCCCCATGGCCTTTTATCTGGGTCACATGGGTACCCTCCATGCACTGCTATTTTAATCAGCCCCGGATACTCCAATGATGGTGTGCCGTATATATATGGCTTCCCATAGCTAGCGAATGTTGGAAAATCACTTCCAATTGCATACTTAGCCTCATGCCCTTCCTTAATCCTCCAATAGCATACATTAGTTTCCAATGGTTGAATGGGCAGTTCAATCCCACTAACTTTTTTGACCAACTTTCTCATCCAAACGCCTGCTGTCACCACACATTTTTTACCCCAAAACTTTTCGCCATTGCTTGCACTCACTATTACCCCTCCTCTCACACCATCTTTGGTTATACTATTCACCTCCACGTTGTCTCTGAGGAATGCACCATACCTAAACGCCAGCATTTGGAACATTGACACTGCCTTGGTGGGCTTGATAACACCACCTTGCTCACAAGACACTCCAATCCAGTCCTCCGGTATGTCAATCCTTCCGGAAAATCTTTCGGTCACTTGCTGGCGGTTGAGGACCTGATGTGGGATGGCGTTCTTTCGACACGTGGCAATGACAGAGAGTAGGCTCTTGGAATCAGCTGGGCCCATGTCGAACTGTTGGGCCTTGAAGTAGACCCTGAAGCCAATTTCAGACTGGGCCTGCTCCCACAGTTGATAGGACTCATTGACCATGCCGTAGTAGTAGTCCTCAGGGTATGTTGCTCGTATGGTGCGCGACTCGCCATGAGAAGAACCCCGGTGGTGAAGAAAATCGAACTGCTCTAGAAGCAGGGTTTTCTGCCCTCTTTTGGCTAGTTGGTATGCCGTGGAGCTGCCCATGACTCCCGCTCCCACTACAATTACGTCAAATTCATCACCGGAATATCCCATCTCTCTCTCTCTCTCTCTCTCTCTCTCTCTCTCAAAGATAAAAGGCTTTATCAGTTGCTCTCACCTATTAACTTCTTTGAGAATGAGATATAAACTAGTAGCCAATAGGTATTTAATATAAGATTGTTATGTAAATAACCAGCCTTTGGCTGGAAATTTCATTATTGCCATTTCATTGATATCGATGTTTATTTCTTCCTGATTTGGTTAAAACTTAATCCATTCCGTAATACATACGGAGAGTTCATATGTAATATAGTTGGCACTTCGATCACTCTACTGCCAAGAAAGGAAGCATTTCGTTTTTTCCAGCTGGCATCATAAAATTACTAAAATTAGTTGTGTAAGGACAACATATAGTTTGATTCATGAATGGGTTTTTCTTATAACCATAAATGAAAATATTCTTCCCATATAAGCAAAACTTTTCAAAGGTGATGATGTTTTTGCCATGTAAACCCTTTTGTTAATTTGTTGTTCAAATGACGGCCAAGATTATTCCTCAGGATGATCGGCAAAGTAAGATATACATGTAACCTGGGATGACAGGAACTACGAAGGCTGCTTGGTACAATTTGATTTAATCGGCCAGTGTCATGTACCATTTGCGCGTGGTATAAGCAATTCCAAGTTGCCATGGAAATTATGGTTATCTTTGTCAATCACTATGATTACTGTATTATCAAAATTCCATGCATCTTCTTTCTAATTTCCACAGCTTTGATGTTTTTTTCAAACGGCCTACCCTTTCTAGTTTCTAACTCAAGTTTTTCATAAATAAAAGTAAGATACGTGTGTAAGATCATTGATTAGAAAATGCTTTCATTTAGGTCTGGACTTACTGTATTAACGTCAGGATGAAGAAGTTGAAGGTGTATTGTTGTGACAGATCAACGTGTAAATCTAATCCTTTTAGCGTCACACACAGAGAGCCGCAATTAAGCTTTGAAATGGGAACTTTATTCATCATAAAGTGTTGACATTCACGTTTCTGTTGACCTAGATACTGAGAATCTTTTGGAGAGTTCACTTTGTCAGATCTGCACGCTTGATTCGTGCAAGATGCTCACTTTTGTCACCATCCATTTGTCCTAATTCTGTTTGGTTAATTAATCTTTTGCTTTCTATCTGTAGTGGCCTAAATATTATATTGTTTATTACTTTACCCTTCTTTTCTCATTTCCAATTATTACTATTTTAGACTAATGCTTCTCCTTTTACTTTTTGGTGCATGAAAAATCAAAATTAGCATGTTTTATTCATGTTCTGCTAAGTAGTACCAGTACTTTTTTTTTTTTTTATCGATTGAAATATTTTGCCACTAATTTTTGACGATCAATCATGATCCTTGAAGTACTCAGAAAACGAGCTCTAACCCATGTTTGGCCAACCGGAAAAAATGGGATCGTTGGTGCGTAAAGCATCATAATTCACGTGATTATTCAGTAAGTTCTGCAACAGACTGGTCTTGCATCAATCATCATCAAGGACAAATGAATATGCCATCGCCGACTCATGGCTGACAAGGAGAGGCCTACAAAGATCGAGTCATCCTCCACTACCCTGGATCCCTATATCCTTCAATTCAGCAATACCAGATACTCCCACTGACAATGGAATATTCTTAGTTGTGCACCGCATGTGCTTGCAAGCTGGGAAAGCCTTCTTGTTTTAGGATATTCTAACAGTCTTTATTGGTTTTCGATTCATGGTGGGTCGAAGCTGTGGCTGGGAATGGTCCTTTCTGATCCCATCACAATGGGTGTTGCGCACTGCTTATGGAATTGTTGCCAAGCAACGAGGCGATTACAATAACTGAACTGATATTCACTATTTGCTTTGTTTGATGATGATATTAAAGTTGTCCCCTGGGATTTAGCGCCTCAAATGAAGAGTAAGAGTGAAAAATCTCCTATCAATTCGTGAGATATTTGATTTTGAGAAAAAGATCAATTAATATTATACTTAGTTTTAATTTTTTTCATTAATGTATCTTATTAAATTATTAATATAAATATATACAAGAAATGCACCAAAAAACCTTACAAATATTATAATTTTTTTAATTCATATATAAATAAATGTATAACGAAGTATAATACATCAAAATTTTAATTTTAATTAGAACCGTAAACGCACTTTTTGGTAAAAATGTAAATAAGTCAATTGTTAAATAATATATTTTTTATAAAAAAAATAAAACATATATATCAATTAAAGTATAAAGTTAAAACTTTGATAGCCAAAGAAAAAAGATTTAAGGTATAATTAAAAGTCAAACTTATATGGAGAGAAGTTGTAATTAATTAAAAAAAAACTTATTTGATACTTGATTATAGATTTAGAGTCTTATGAATAAATTAAAAAATTAATTTGAATTTAATTAAATTGACATGATAGTGATTTAATTCTTAACAAATTTCTTGATTTTAAGGATTTAATTTGTAAGCAATGATTGATTGGTATAATAAATAAATAATATGATTTTAATTTATTTTCATAAAAGGAAGTTAAAGGTCAAATAAAAATAACTAATAACATGTTTGGTTTAATGGTGAATTTAATATATATATATATATATATATATTTGAGAGTTTAAAATTTGACCCCCTCTGACTTGTATTATGAGCCGCCCTTGATATCAATTGATGCAGTGATCTGCTGAGTAAGGTCCATTGTGCAATAGATGCATAGTAATAGGATGCTTAGGCTTTAGACAGGGAAAGGCAACTTAACATAGTTATACATCAAAGAAAGTTGCAAAATGATCAGATTTTTTACTGTCAAAATAACAAAGGACCATGTCTGCTAAATGTTAGTCACCTGTGTTTGGACCATCAGTGTTTCATTTGTTTTTCTTAGGCTTAAAAGCATACTTGATGATCGAATCCTTAATAGAAAACAATAATTTGGAGAGGAAAGACATGGTTGGAGATTGTTGAAGCTGGAACAGTTGTATTGTCAAGAGCCACAATCATGTAATCAGGGTAGTTCTTGATCAGTCAAATGGTGACATGCGAGGCAATGAAACCAGATGCACCCGTTATAACTTATAAGGGTCATTTGGGTGCATAAGAAGCTGGTTCAGAAGACATGCTTCATTTTCTTTTTCTTGTCTCAATATGATAGCAGTCCTTGAGCGAGTAAGGTATTCCAGAAGAAAAAAAGCTTAAAAAAAGAAATTACGATGAAACATTGGATGAGCAAAGACTAAATGCATATAAGTGCAAGTTTAATTGATGCAAATTAGGTTGGAGGAAGTTTTCAAGGGCGCTTCAAGCCTCTCAAATATGCATAGTTTATCAGTAGATAGAAATAGAAAAGATTTAAAAAAGAAACAATATATAGGATATTAAAATCATCTTCATCCAGATAAAATGAATATCAAAATCAAAATGGAAAGAAAATCATCCAACATACAATAAGCATTTTATTTTCCCATAAATTGTCATCTACTCTTTCAAGCCCCATATGATGTCATTCATATTCATGTACAAAAATTTTGAAAGAAGAGCTTTACTCTAAGAAGGTAATCAATAGTATAACATGAAACTTCTCTGTTGTTGGGCAACTATAGTGTAATCCTTTTTCGATAGGACAACTCTAGTGTAATCCTTAATCGGCACATTAAAGAAAGTCCAAAGGAAAAAAATACAACACAAGGCATTATTGCCTTGAATAATTGAAGTTTGTTATTGATTTGTTTGTTTCATTGCTTTAGCATTGTACTTGTGTCGATCAATAAACATGTTAATAGTAAATTCAAAATTTTTGTGCCAGAAAAAAAAAGAAAACAGCTGTTGTTGATTTAACTGTACATTTCTGATGATGGTAGCATATTGACTGAGCCTTGGAGGTCAAGGTTTTGGTTCCCCTTGCTTCAAGCTATCGACCCAAAAATGAGAAAATCTGCTTGATTTGTCCAACCCATATTTAAGCCGACTCATCAGTTCGGACAATGTGATATAGCCTTTGTAACCAGCCCATATATAAGCCAACTCACAGCCCATCGACTATAAATATCGTATTTTATTCCTATCTGTGCTTATTGAATGCATGAAAATGGTTACTTATGGAGAAAAGCATTTTACTTATATATGGAAAATTTTAAACAAGTTAAAGCTTCTCTTTCTTTCATGGAAAATTAAAAAATAAATTACATAAAAGCTTCATACATTAGTAATATTCAGGCTTAAAGCCAGTGGTGTGTCACTCTGTCAGATCTTTTGTATTTGGATATAAACACCATGTTCAGGTTCAACAAGCATTCTAAAAGCAGGAGAATGTCGATAACTTGGAGATAGAGAGAAAGTAAACCTGGAGACAATAAGGGATATAAGAACCTTCAATTGAACCATTGCAAAGTTTTTACCCAAACACAAGCGAGTGCCTAAACCAAATGGGATATAGCCTTGTGGGGATTTGCAGGCTTTGGAGACACCATTGATGAACCTATCAGGTTTGAACTCATGGGCATCTGCTCCCCATATATCAGGATCCCGGTGCAAAGTTGGAATTAGAGTCCAAATGCATACCCCCTTCGGAACCAAAATATTTCCAATTCGAGTCTCTTGGAGTGCCTCTCTTGACACAAATGCTGCTGCTGGGTAAAGACGCATTGTTTCTTGAATCACCATTGTCACCTGCATGGTATAAAACCACATTTTTACAACTTATAGATGGTAATGAACTTTTAGAAAGCAAAAAAGAATATTGTAGATCAGCATATCTGCATATGTACCATTTTCAATCGAGAAATTGACTCTGCATCAGGCAGGCCATTCTTGCATACTTGAGCCACCTCTGCTTGAATACGAGATTGCCACTCTGGATGCAGAGCGAGTAGCATCAAACACCAGGAGGCAGTGATGGCAGTCGTTTCATACCCAGCAAAGTAAATGTTCTTGCAATTATCAACTATAAATTTCTGCGGTGAAGCATTGCCTACATTGTCATCATTGACAGCACCCTCCAATATTAGCTGCATCAAATCTTTTCGACCCGATGATGTGTCCAAGCATTCCGGCTGGCGTCCTTTGACTGTCTCCCATATCGATAATTCTACCTCTCTTTCTAAAGTGCTGATCTTCTT